CAGGGACTTCATATAAACAATAAAAGTATCTTTTACACCTGACAACACAGCAGCAGACAACATTAAACTAAAAACTAAGATGTCTGCAGTTTTGTTTTATGTAACATCTGTACAGTTTGTTTATCAGAGAAATTATGAATTGATGTTCCTGTGCAGAGGGCAGCGAAGCATAAAGGACACGCATCATTACATCAGTCAGGTGACCAACATACATCAAACATATCAGCTGAGTGACAGCAGCTCCTGGAAGAGCTTCCAGCAGGATTTCCCATTTTCCAAATGCGCTGCATGTGATCAATCAATCAAACGTAATCCCACCTTCAGATTACTTGGCCAAGGTTAAACTTAGTCATTCACTGCCAAACATGTTTAGGTCCATTTTCTACAGAACAGGAAAATTAAAATAAAGTGAAAAAAAAACACTTTTTTTATTTTACATTCATCACTATGTCATGGTTTTCCCAGTTTTTTTTTTTTTTGAGGAGGGTGAGGTCACATGGTACAGCTCAATCATCCAACCACAGTGATGGGTGACCGTCCACCAAATGGCTGCACACATTCCCCCTGGTCTCTCTCCATTAAACAAATTGTGTAATAATCTTCCAGCTCCTAATGTTTGTAGTTGAGGAGAGCGACATATTTTGATTGCCGTACTTTTGGGAGGTAAAGCTTGAACCATCTGTAATCCCCGTGTTTTACTCTCATCAAATTAAACAGGGATTATTTAGTAGGGACTGAAATGAACTGAGTGACATTTATCCCAAAGTATTTAGTCTTAAGGAGCTTTTATTCTCCCTCTCATACACGTCAACGCTATAAAAAAGGTCCCTAATTAGGTTACACGTGCCTCAGCTTCATCACCAAACCTCATCCTGACCTCGGTGTGACTCTAACTCAGACCACCGCCACCGTCGCAGAAAGGGTGTCACCCCTGCTGTGGCTGTGTATGTTTCTCCATCTTATATTTCAATGAGTCCACCATTACCACGAGCCCTGAGCTCCTACAGACACAAAGAAATCAATAACAATGAAAAGTCTCAGGTCAACAGTGATCATCTTCACTCTGGAGGAGAATATCGTCTGATTTGATCTCATACAGTATTGGTAAATACACTCAGATAAATGCTCTGAAAAAAAAAAGTAACTTTGTGGCTGCTAAACATGTGACTCCAAACCCACAATTGATTATATGAAATATTAATATGTATTTCTTGATAAATTACTGTATTTAAAATTGTCATTTTTTTAATGCTTACCCCACAAAATACATAATAAAATCAATGTCATCTAATGGGGAAAAAAGTGTTTCTCACTAGTCAAACTATACTACAGTGTTTTCAGTTATAATCATAATAATGGTTCCAATAAAAGAAAAAAGCTTAATTTAAATATTTCAGGCTGTGGTCTTTTTTTTTTTTTTCCCCACATTTTGCCCTACTTCCTTGGTTCTGTATTTCTTGTACAGATTAATCAATACAAATACCATTTCCGTAAGATTTATTTGGGCCCCTGTCGAGGAAGTTCTCCCAGAGAAAAATAAAGCCTGTTATGTAGGATATAAATAAAGAAAAAATTGATAAACAGAAACTTTGAGACAGTTTGATAGTGTGCGGACCAAAGTTGATGAAGAGAAAGGGGGGGGTTCAATAAAGCCTTCAGTTAAAAGAAAAGGTTGTTCTGTGTGGCATCGTTCTTCCATCTCCCTGGGGTAATGTGCAAGATCTCTCAGCAGATGTGTCCTCTGAGCTCTGAATCACCAGATAATTAAAAAGCACTTGACGATCAGAGATATGCATTCTAATATTGTGCCGCATCATTTGTCTAGAAGTCTGATCTGGCACTGAGAGATTCCACTCAATAGCCTCTATGCAAACATTTGAGGAGGAAATCAGCTGCTTTTCATAATCCCACAACAACAATAAGATGAATTCATTCTATGGAGGCGCCATCCGCTGGCCGACCAAGCATGATCATACTGTTAGCTGTGACCTTATGTCTTTTACTTCTGACCATGGAATGGAAAAAAAATGACATGTTTACATATAAACATAGCCCAACTAGTTTTTTTAGATTGTACCGTCATGTCTACTTGACTGACCTCATATGTCCTATTATATGTTTTGAACGCTTGGCTCCTCCAGGTAAAGTGACCACATCTGTTCACTGGGAGATGCTGGTTTCAAATCAGAGGATGCTGTTCAGACTATAGATTGGATTATGACGCCGTTTTTAATCTGCGCCCCCCGTGGTAAGACATTGCTCCACCCCTGCTCCTCGGCCTTATGCAACACTTGACGAGGTGAGATTTTTCCAAATCCTGGCACGTTGCTGGTGCGCTATGTGATTCCCCGTGACAAACTAATTTGAGCTTAGAGTGCCAAAGCTTTGACGAAGATGTGGGAATAGATTTTTAGTCACAAGGAACCATCTTCCTCACAGGACCTTTGAAACGCCCTACAATCCACAGTCATTCTTAACCAGGATCTTCTCATTTAAAACTAAAATACAAGCCGTTACCAATATTTCATATAATTTAAATATTTAAATACAACGTTTGACTGTTGTATCATCTTGTTCTTCTGTTCAATCTCTGAAGTAGGTATTGTTTTAATTTAAGGGGCCGAGCGATTACATAATCATAGCGCCGAGTCCTTAAACCTCAGTGTTCCTGGTTCACCTCGATGTTTAATTATAGTAATATACAGTATCTGGCCTTAGACCTGAAACAATGGGGTGGTTAACCTCAATTTTCAGAGAGTTTCTCAGTACGGACTCTCATTTATCTCCTTCTGCTGCTGTATCTTGTTGTTCCGTTGAGCAAAGTATAGAGAAACAGATCCACTGATACAGTATGGCTGCACGCTCAAGGACACATGAAAAACGTATCACTGCTGCCAAGGCTCTGACCTTTCCAAATCAAGACAGACTCGCGGTCCAAAACACTGCTTCTTGTTATATTTACCATGGAGAGGAAAATATCAGACCAGGACAGGAAAAAAATAGTCAGAAAGACAATCAAAAAATTGTCTAAAAATGATTGTGTAATTTTGAGAGTAAAGACTCTGCCTCGGTGTGAATTTTAATGTAAAGGAAAAGAAAAGCAGATAATAATAACAGGGCAAAAGCTCCCAATGAATACACACTTCAGTTTCACACAAGTTGAATTTTAAATTCAATTCCTATTCATAAATGTGCAAAAAAAAAAAATCAAATGAAAATATGACATTTTTTCTGTCTCATCATCCGTCAAAAACTTTTCATAAACAACTACTGGATTAAATATCAAAGGCTGTCAGCCATCACCGTGTTTTATCTGCTCTCAGGAGATAAAAAGTCAGATACATGTATGTTTTCTGTTCTAGGATGAGTCACTGTGTGCCTGTCACTGGTTTCCAGGTCTGGGAGTGACACATTAAAAACCACAAATCTCTCAACGTAAAGAACTACATTTAGAACAGTGTCACAAAGAAACTGCTGTGATTCTCCTTTTATCCATAAAAACACTGAAATCAAGTCAATTTCTTATAAACAGACAAAATGAAATCTGAGGGGAGAGAAATAAGTACACACAGCTGCTCTATCTTCATGACTCTGATGCAGGTGCCACCGATACTACAGTTACTGTCTGACTGTGAATGTGAATGGGTGTCTGTCTCTACTGTATATGTGGTTCTGTGATGGAGTGGAAGCCTCTACAGTGTGTTCTCTGCATGATCACCGTGTTGATGTACAGTAAAACATAAATAGTTTATGGACTGATATTTGTTTTAATCCAACAAAAACCTCCTGTTACCATTTGTGGGTTTCATCTGGAATGATTCTGACTAAAAATGTTGTTTAGTCACAGGTCCTAGTCAGGGTATGTCACCGTTTAAACAAAATGATGACATCAGCCATGGCTCTGGTCATATTTGTATGTTAGACACTTCTTTAATGTATCAAAATATGGTTAACCTAAAATGCAGGGAATGCCAGTGCGAGCTAAATGTCAAGGCTGAAAAAGTTCTTAATGAAATAGTTATCCTTGAATTTTTAATCTAGAGAAAATTGACGTTTAATTAAAATGAGGTCAAGGTTCACTGGCTGCTTCAAATGTGAGCTGTAAAGTTGTCAGAATAGAGTTTTTTCCTTTTCAACAGAATGGGTGAATATGGTAATTATGTAAGAGATAATCAAATATATTCTATTCATCCCCCTTTTCTAATATCAGCTTCACATACACAGTCTATAATGTTCACGCTGACCAGTATCACTGATTCAGATAATATGATGTTAGAAACAATTCACTCATGACATGTTGGAGGAACCACGCCATGTGTGTGCAGGTGGGGGGGGGGGGGGGGGGGGGGGGGGGGTTGTTTTTTGATTTGGTACATTTTTATTTGGTACATTTTTTTCAAGCGGTGGTAAACTGTTCATTCGTCTGTACAGTTATAAATATGTATGGGTTATCATTTTTACAGGGTTCATAAAACACTACATAGAGAATATAGCGAGTCACTACTTGGACTTTCAAAGTTCTGATGAAGTCAACGTCTCTCCACAGCTGGAAAAATAAAGTTAAAGCCATCGTTTTCCCTGAACACAAGTCTTCAAATAAAGAAGAAATCTATTTCATGTTCAGTCTGATAAGTCATAACGTCTGGCCAGTGTAAGTCAACTGACCTAATTAGCTGAGGCTGTGTTGTCTGTTCTGTTTCATAACACAGAACAGCATGTGTCTACAGGTCTGCTGAATAATTGATATCAATTTGACATGTATGGACTAAGAATCCCTTAGCACCATTTTTACAGGAACTATTTGTAAAAAAAAATCTGAATTTATTTTACATTAAGTGATGAAGGTGGAATAAAGTTCAAACAATAACTGGACTACAATGAGCTTCTTAACGCCCTCGTTTATGATCAGCATACAGAAGGAAACACCGGGGCCTGTGCAGGTCACAGCTGGACGAAGCTTCATCCTAAACGTGCTGTTCCGTGTGAGTTTGTATAAATACCTGAAATCACTGTAAGGGTGAATTATCCAGAAACCAGCGGATTTGACTCTCTCCTGTTCCCGTTCCACCGCCTTCTCACTTCCAAACATCCTCAGAGAGAACTTATTGACCCCTGGCTGGAGCATTGCCCCGAACTGTCTGTGCATGAACCCTGCCTGGTACAATCTCTCGTCGTCCGGCAGAATTTGGTCGATGCCGTCCAACTTTACGAACCCTGACTGCTGGCTTGGAGACTCGTTTTGGGCCCCGCCACTGGCCCCTTGCGCGCCCGCTTCTGGGGTCCCATTGCCCACGGCACCGGGGGGACTCTCCTCGCTCGGAGTGACATCCCCCTCGGTGATTAGGCGTCTCTCCTCCGCTGAGCCCGAGTCGTGCAAATGACGGCTCGTGATGGATGAGAGGCTCCCTCGAAACCTGCGACAGTCCCCGTTCGAGCTGGTCTTCATCGGTCTCCCTATGTCCGTCTCCATGATCAGCGACTCCCCACTTTTGGTCTCCCCGATGCCTCTGCAGCTTCCTCCAGAGGTCGGCGACGCCAGAGGTTTCATCCTGATGCTCTTCCTCCGAGTGTCCTTGTCTGCGTCTTCCCCTTCGCCCATTATGGATGCCTTCTGTCCTATGTGCTGTGGCAAACTGTAGAGCCTTTTACGCATGGAGGAGTGCAACCTGTCCATTATGACATTGAGACACAGCGGGTAGAATTAAATAAATCCAGGTTTTTAGGCTGTGGCGGAGCGGGTTGAACCTCCTGCCAGCCACGCGCGCCGTTTGTTTGTGAGAGCGAACAGTCTGGAGCTGATGTGAATCCCAGAAACCCTGCTACACATGACATGGACCACCGTGGCTCCAGTGAAACAGATGACAGACAGCACTCGTGTTCATGATAACACTGCCTGACAGCGTGCATATGTCCTCACGCACGGCGGACACCTCGCGTGGCCACTGCGTCCTCGATGTTCATCCCTGTGCCGCGCCGTCATCGTGCGCAAAAGTGGAAAAAACTGCTTGAAAGTCACCTTAGCGTGACTTGGGAAGGATGTGGCGACGGACGGCAATACCAAGACGAGGGAAAGGTCATGGAAGACGGAGGATGCTCCTTTCAGCAGGTCCCTGGTCAGTTACTGTCAAGCAACGCGACACAATCAAGCAAAAATACAGTTGAGCATTCCAGGCACCGCTGACATCACTGATCCATAGTCAGGCTGCGTTTTGGTGATTTGTGAATATTCATGATGCTGATCCATTGGGTTGCCATAGGAGCGAGAACTGCAAATAAGCTCTGCCCGCCTTGTTTAAAGGGGAATGCTCTTCCCATTCTTAAAACGCTCTGCTGCTCTACAGGTAGACGGCGCAGAGCCACTCTCCAGCCCTGCAAAGCTCCGGGCTTCAGGATGGGAAAACAAAGGAGAATCCCGTTCAGCATTCACGCCATCAGCGTGATCCACTGCGAGCATTTTGCTCAGTTGAAGAACGAGGATTAAACAGTGCAGTATCGGGTGGATTAAGAAAAGCACAATGATTACTTTTGAAACTAACAGATATTTAAAAACGAGCACAGTTTTGAATCAAAGAAATCCCTTTGTCGTTTTTTAAAGAATATTTCTAATTCTAATTCGGTTTAATCATTTTGGAAGTTTACCCTGTCCTCATATCCATTCATCCAGACTCCCATCAGTGAAGTGTGATTACTATTTTTTATAATAAACTTCGATTCTAACCCTTTGCTGCTGCTACAACCTTTTACATTTTTTTATATCATGCAAAATCACAGAGACAACGAATTAGTTTTTACTGGTGGACTTTTGTGTAAAAAAGTTTACAGTTTACAGTTTAGCTAGTGGGTTTTTCCCATTTATGTGGTGGCCTAAAATTCTTCAGTCTATGTTTTCCATTTCATGAAGCCCAGAATATTTTAATTGTTGAAATGACGAGCGTGCAGGATGGCTGACATTTCCTGTTGGAAATATTTAAATGTGGAAACTACATTTGCTTATCTCTCAGTAACATTTACTTACTATCTAGTCTTGCACATATATGCAAATCCCAGCATAAGTCTTGCACATATATGCAAATCCCAGCGATAGCAGTGCAGGTGCCGTGCCAAGACCAGGATCTGGATGGCCTTTTGAATCATTGGCAGGAAAATACGAACATTTGTTTGTAGGGTAGCTCCTCTATTTCTTAGGAAGCAAATTTTGTTTTTAACGCACTGCCTACAGCAAGAGTCGGTGTAATGCAAACCTCAACAAACTCCTATCAATTTTAGAGCCATTTATGTGTGCGAGACATAATTAAAAGTATTCTTACAGTACCTAAGTAGTCAACTGTGCAAATTAAAAATGCTTCTCACTACACTAAAAGAAAACAGATTCAAAACAGAATGAAAATAAATAAATAAGCTAACAGATCCAGTGACATAGAAGTCCAATAACATCTTCTACATCTTCTAAAAAAAAAAATATATCAACTGTGGTTGAAAGAATTCCCCATGTGTGATATTATTATAAAAAATACTGTTAATAAATTGTGTTATTTTAAAACGATTTATTTTAAAAAGTGTTCATAAGAAAAGCAGTATTTTTGAGCCATTGCACAAACTTTTTAACAACAAAGCAGTGTTCCCATACCTTAGTCAGAATTAAAACACTAATCTAAGACTTGTCTTCAAGATATTTTTCTTTTCGCAAAACATCCATACTAGTACCTTGAATGGATGGTTATCATGCCAGCATGTCAGTTGACACAGAATGATTATCAATAGCAGTGGAACAGCCGTCCAACTCAATGTACTGTCGAATGTTTAAATTAAAAAAAAAAAACATTGACATATGAGGACAATGAGTGTTTTTAAAAAAGGCTATTCATTCAATCCAAAATGCTGTACAATGTCACACCTATACATTAATATAAAAAAATATTTTATACAACTTTAAAGAAGGGGGTCAGTGCTCCATATCTCTGTTTGTGGTCATTGTTCTAAAAAAAATAAAGACTACCTCACCTAAGTTTCACAGTATCACCAAGAGAGTAAACGCAGGATCTGTAGAAAAGGACTTAATAAGAAGCAAATCTCCATAAAAACAAATGCAATGTTGCCTTTGAGTAAAGAAGAGGGATATAACACAAAGATCACTGTGCTCACAGTAAAACACAAATGTAACACTATAATACTGTTGGAGAGTGTAACCACTACTGAGGGTGGACGTGATGAAGAAGCAGTAGGTTTTAAAAAGGCTTCAAAGAAAAACTCAAGTAATTAGTCTGGACAAAAACATACTACATACATAATACTGGGTGCATAAAATTGCAGTTAGTCAGTGAGTCAGTCAGTCAGTGAGTCAGTCAGTCAATGTAATCCCAAATGTTTGAAACCTGTTTCAGCTTGTAAGTAAAGCCCAGTCAACTCCTGGCCTAGTAGAACACAAGGACAGTGACGCTACACACATTCACATTCAAAAGCTTCTCTTCATTTTTGCTCACTGTTTACTTGTACTTTTTACACTCTTTACTCAATATAAAGTTGACTTACTTGGATGCACACACGTGAACACACTTTCCTTCTCCATTTAAGCACACACATGCTTTCTGTGTTCTGTTTTTTGAGAAGCTAGCACACCTGACACCTGAAAGTGAAGAGCTTGTATGGACGGCCCACAGGAAGTGGGAGAGGCCAATGATTGGCTGAAGGGAGGGGCACATGACCATGATGTTATTCTTAAATTTACTTTTGCTCTGATTGCTGTAGTTGTTAAGGCTTGTTAGGTCATGTAAGATTTTTTGCTTTTACATCCTTTGTTAGTTTTGATAAAGCTTGGGTTGAATCTAAGTTGTATTATTTTTCATTTTACTTTTTTATTTTCAAATTTTAAATTTAAAATGTACCTACTTTCAATTATTATTAATCTTTATTGTATTATTATATAGCCTTTATCTGTGTATCTTATCACTCACTATTTCAAAGGGAGAATATTACAAAATAATGAAAATATTATTAGTACTTGAGCCAAATAGTATTTCTGGGTAAATCATTGTCATGAACTGATGGATAAAAATGCTTCAAAATTGTTGAAGTTGTCCTCGTCTATTACAGGTTTACATACACTGGTACTACTACTTTTCTTACCTTTGTCAGGACTCTCCAGGACCATGCAGAGAGCCAAAGCATTATATACTTCCTTCCAGGTGAAGCTACAGAAGTTGAATTATTCATTGTTACATCAGGCAGGCTTGAGCTTACATTGTGAAATTCTTCATCTCTGTCTGCATCTTCAAATACACCTGAAATTGAACTAATACAAAAGTATAAGGAGAAAAAAACATGGCTGCCTCTAATGTCTGGAAGTTAAAACGTTATGGACGCTTTGTCCCAGGCTCCGGAAAAGCAGCAAAAAAGCCCTGGAAGGTAAATCATTCAGATTATTGAAGCTAGTTAGCGTGTTAGCATCTCTTTTAAGTGGGGTAAAGAAGTATTTAGTGGCTTCTAACATGATAATACAACCGCTATGTGTGTTTGTTCAACTAAATCATATTGTTCAGATACATAGAGAAGTCATTACTGTCAGAACACCGTGGGGGAAATGGTAGTTGTTGTTATAGCTCTCATTTCACCTGCTAACTTGATAGCAGTGAGTTGTCAGGTTGGTTACAGTCATTATTTATTATTACATTTATTTTTTTATTACTAATATCCGGTGCATTTTGCATAACTATAAGACATTTATTCAATGTTAATACTTATATATTAGTATATTGACAACTTCAATCAATGTGTATAATATAAGAAAATAGGTTATATGTTCAAATGTTAGTATTACTGTAGCTTATTAGATTTCAAAATAGGTTTGTTCAAATGTTGGTATTACTGTAGCTTATTAGATTTCAAATTATTTTTAAAGGTATTACTAGAAAACGTAGCCATTTACAGCGGACATCCAGTGCAGTGCTTGGTTTATTGTAAAATAAAAAAGGGTGGCCGTAATTGAAATTTATTTTTTCATACCTCATTTGCATCGGCCTCTAGGTGGCAGAATTGAGCTTATTGTATAGGGCTGTGGCGCTGTCATGGATACACAATGAAGCTGAGGTTCATTTATAAATGGATGATTTAACTTCAATCATTTTGGATTTATACAATACAGACATATCGAATACATTTTTTATAGAAATGTTTCAGTTCAGTTTCAGTGTAATTTCAGTGTTTTCATGTAGAATATGTCTATAATACAATTCTCTCTTTGACAATCTGTCCTTTTCTATAGCTGTTTGATGCCGTTGCCAACAAGCCTCAAATTTTACTCACATTCCTTGAACCTGGATATTTGCTTGTGTCACAAGGAAATGAAAGCTTGGTAAGACGACTTGATATGTTGTATTGTTGTATTTCCTTATTGTAAGATGAAAATGCAAAGATCTCAATTGTTAATTCCCGTATGAGCTTCCCTGAAGGATGAATGTACAGTTCACTGCAGGCATGATAAACAAACCCCCTGCTTTGAACGTGCAGTAGACAACAATAATTCAAATTATACAGAAGATTAGTTGCTTCAGCAAAATTTTAATCTTGTGCTCATGAATATTTAAAAAACATTGGCCTCAGTGGTAAATGATTGACTTACTCTCATATATACATATACAGTACACAGTACATTTAGTATAGAGAATATTGGCATCTGTAAATTCAAAAATGAATTGTTGCCATGGGGTGATTCCTTAACATTATTTAAGGCTGTAGCTGTGAATGTCATTCTCTGACACAAACAATTTATAATGTCACAGTTGTTCTGATTGCTTGTCCTAAATCCATATGGATGGAAGACTGAAATGAATTCCATTAAATGCTGGCTCTCCAGAATGAGACACTGCAAATCTGCTGCTCTATATGGGTCTCCATGTATTATAAATGTTGGTACATTTTGGTTTTTGTCTTTTAATCAATATTTTTTTAAGATGCAGAAATAAAAGAAACATCTAAGGCAAAACATGTCAAAAGAATGAATGGCAAAGAATATGTAGGTCAGAAGTATTTGAGATGTGAATCAATACCAGAAATTTGCTAAACAAAAAGGTCACAATAAATATTCTGCTGAAAGGCTTGACATTTCAGACCAAATGTTTTGGGATTTGACTGGATATATTTCTGTGTTTCTGGACGAATGGTTCATCTGGATTTGACAATATGATCACAATTAGTTTGTTATAAAATTTGACTTTTGGCAGCATTTTAAAATTCACTAACTAATTGATAAAGTCATAGGCTTTATATTAATTATGTTTATTTTAGCAAACATTTATTTATCCACAGGTTTAATAAACTGCAGACCTGGATGACAGTATATAGATGTTTTTCTTCTTTTTTTCTTCTTTATTTGTTTATGGTTAAACTAAGCAAAGGTTATAGTTGAACAAGGCAGATTAGCCTGTTGTCTGCAGCAAGTTAGCTAAAAGCTAGCAATGAGAGTAAAAGAAAAACTCCACTGTCCTGTACATTTTCTTGGCACTGTTTCATTAGGGTTCATTTGGAAAAAAGGATCACGTTGGATTTGGGTTTCAGTGAGAATCCAATTCACCATATGCTGAAGAATCTGGGTCAGCTCCTCACCACATTACACTGATTTGTTGGTTTGGTTATTTTATTAAGATTTTAGATTCTAAATCACCTGGGTTTTATTAATATTCTGATTTTTGAGTTCTCCCTCATGTCGTGTATATACACACTTGGTGTCTCTTTAACAAGTTGGTGTTCAGAGACACAGCTTTCTTGCGGTGTCTGGGCTGAGGACAGACTGGTATCCAGGTCAGACTGCAGATGCCTCTCATTTAGGATGATGGACTGGTCTATCAAGGCTCGGCCCAGCAAATGCTCAGTGTCATTCAGTACACAGAGCGTTGGCCAAAAGACTCCATTAGTGCATTTGAAAGATAAATGTGATCGTTGTGACCCCTGCATTTTGATTTCAAACTTAATTTCCTCAGCAATCCACAACTGCAGCTCTAATTAAATGTCTCAAACACGGACATGCTGAAGAGTTTCTCCTCTTCTGTTCAGAGACAGAGCTTTAGACCTCAAGTACAACTATGTTACCATGGTGATTTATGAAGCACATCTTACAAACGAGGTTACCTTTTGGTCTGTTATCTGCCTTGTTTATTTAATTATTTATTTATTTATTTAGTGAGCTCATTTGTATTTTTACTAGTTACTGAGCAAATAGAGACCCCTGCAGGCCGGTTTAGGTAATAACATGCATGGCATAATACATTTCAATTGTTCTTGACTTTAAACGGCTTAAAAATTATTATTTTTTGTTTCGTATAATACACTCTTTTATTTTAAACCTGTAAACCAAAGTCTGTGTGTAAAAGAACTGTCGTCGCTGTTTATTTCCTGAATTCTCTCATTACAGGATATGATCTCACTACTCTGTGGGTCAGACTTTGTAAAAGTGCAACAGAATTCTGATAATTTGATGATTCGAGTAACTATGGAGGTGAGAACAGTTTTAATGTTTTTGGTATTACAACATACTCCCTAAGAATATGCTTTAATTCAAATAATAATAATAAAAACATTTTAAAAACCAACTAAGTAACATCCAAATCTTACACTCAGATTGACCTTGACTTTGTGGATTTTTGCAGGGAGAGAGTCGAATGATGAGGATGCAGTTTGATGGAAGGAAGAGGGCGGAGGCTGTGAAGGAGTGTTCAAGTGCTGCTGAGAAATTGAAAGAATATGTCACTGTCACAACTCAGAATGGCCCAACACCACCAAATAATCAGCCTCCTGCTGAGGTCTCTGCACCAGTGCCACAGGTTAGTCACTTTAAGAGTTTTACACTCGTTCTAGCAACAAGAACAAACTTTTACAAAAATTGAATTTAGCTATTTCACTGCGTTAAAAATAAAATAAATTATATATATTAAAAATATTTTACCTTCAGTTTAAAAATATTATTTATTTTATTAAGTATGGTCCACATAGTCAATGGTCCGTATCTTCACTAGATGTCGCTGTTTCTAATATTTCCTAGTAAGGTCTCTGCACCAAGTGAAGTGAATAGAACGTTATATTCTGCATACTGTCTTTCATCATGAATCTTTATGGATTATATCGTTTAACATGTTCCACAACACGAACATACAGAACCACAAAGGAGTATTTTATAAATCTTATCATCACTTTGATTGTACTACATAGGTAAATCACAAGTAAATTGTAAAAAAAAAAATCAAACATGCTTTGACTGACTGGATTATTCACTCTAATAATGACACAGGAATGAAAATGTCATTTGTTCTCATGTCAGTACTTAGAGTTTTATTCACTTTCAAGCCCAAACAATCAGAAGAAGGTGGTCAGATTTGAACTTTCAGAGAATAAGTTGGATCCAGTTCTTTTGGGTTTCACACCATAAAACACGAAGGACTGAGAAAGGACTGGACACTGACAGGGTGTCCAGTTTGACCTTTAACAAACAGACTCACTGAAGGAGTTCACGAGGAAGATGAAAGGCCTTTAAAAGGTGGAAATCTTTTAATTAGTAATGAAGCTATCGATTGGCCTTTTAACCCTGTGGTGCTTTAGCATGTTCTTTGAATCATTTTTTTCTTCCTATATGTCACTGTGTGTCAACAAACCTGGCAGGGAAAGGCTGTAAGAGCAGAGCCAGAGTTAGTGCAAGGATCACTGTCCATCAAGCGACTAACACAGGTACTGATTGTTAAATGTCAGAGGAATTATACTGTTAGTTATCAAGGGGCTGGATTCAGTCCCGTAACTGAGTCTTAAGCTGCTCTGTTCATCACTTACATAAAAGAAAAACAGGAACTGTTTTTTTTTTTCCATCTCACTCGCTGAAGTGTTTTTCTTCACAGCACTTTCTGGGAGAGGCGGCACTGAATCTGCCTCAAGTTTATCACCACAGCCCTCTGGCAGAAAATGAATTAAAGCCCATCCTTCGTGTTTGTCTGCTGGATCCAAACTTTCATGCATTAGTGGAAAAGGTGGAGAGTGAGCTGAAAAAACTGCTACAGGAATGAAGAATCTGAAGAACAGCTGAAGGAAGAGAAGTGATGTTAGTGCAACATTTTGTTTTCTTCATATATACAGGTTGTGTAGGCAGCATTTGGTGTTGGAGTGTTTCTCGGTGTGCTGCCA